GGCGACCAATTGATGTGGTTCAGTTGGAAAGTTCTCTGGCCGGTGGCCGATTGTGGCCGAGACTTTGGATCAAATCCTCTTTCCTCCCTTAGTAAAGTTAACTTTTGTTATGTAAATAGAATGTTTAACAAACCAGCCCATGAGGTATCCCAATTAGCTAAATCTCACTCATCTTCTTTTGTAATTTCAGACTATCTAGAAGGGATACCTAGGGTTGAGGACTTTATTATCCTTATATGTTCGTTAATATAGTATTTATCTTTCAAAAAAAAAAAATCCTCTTTTCACCAGAGTTGTGGATTATGGATACAAGGAATGGATTACCCACCCCATTGTGTAGCCTATGAAAAAAAATTAGGGTTCTTTTGGTTCAGTCAGAATTGGAATGGTCAATACCCATAGGCAATTTGGTTCAAACATGAATCGGAATGTGAATTAAAATCAGTTAGAATGGGATTTCGTTCCCAAAGGAAAGGAGGGAGTATCCATTTCCTCAAAATGGGGAAATGCCATACCACAAAAAATGGAAAATGAATTCCGATTCTGCACAACCAAACAGTTTAGAATCAATGTGGATCATTCCGATTCCAAATCCAGACCCCCTATTCCGATGAAATAAATGAGCCCTTAGAGGTGCAGGGTTAGAACAGTAAGGTTGGAGCCTGTGTAGCCTACTACTACCCTTGGGACTTGGGAGCACAGCCAAGTTTGCAATTGTGCTTTGACACATGAATCATCTAGCCAAGAGCCTAGAGCTAGTACACATTATGTTACCTTTCTAATCAATGTTGTTAGACTTGACCCGGACCAAACAGTCGGACCGTGAAAATCGGAAACCAATGGATTAAATGATGGTTTTATGAGTTTCTACAGGCTGAATGGTGGTTTTTAGTCCTAATCCGGTTCAAATCTTGCAACATTGTTTCTAGTTAGCTGGAAAAAAATGGTTTTCCTGTTAATGTGCGTCAGTAACAAACAGGTTCAACCATGATACTAGAAAGACATGATATCCGAAAAATTTGTGATCAATCAATTGGTATCATAAACGTATTAATCAATCATGTAGAATTCATCAAAATTTATGGATGATTTTTAACGGGTCAAAACTCTTCCGATACCATATCTTTCCCGTATCATAGATTTTCCTGCAACAATAAAAAGAAAAAAGGAAAGCTGATAAATATGTCAGATTTAAGTGTTAAAGTTGTTTTTTGTTAATCCATTGTTCCTAAAATGGATACTTTATTTTGTACAAGGATATGCCATGCATCCATATTCCAATATTATGTGGGTTAGATGGGCTTAATGGCCCAAAATAATAGCAATACCAGCTTTCATGGGCCGGGTCGGGCCGGGCTCAGGCCGGGCTTTTATTCATCATTAATGAAAATATGTTAGGCCGGAGCCCGAGCCCGAAGCCCGACCTAATAAAAAAATTACAATTTTCCTATTTAAATTAGAATTAAAAATTCAGAGGTTTTTTTTCTTATTTAAATGAACAATGGGCCTACAAGATGGTTTTTTTCCCTTTCTTTTACGTTTTAAAACACAGTTTTACATTCTTAAATAAAAAAAATTTATTCAAATGGACATTAATCACATAACCCATTTTAAGTCTAATTTTAGGTTGGACCGGGCCGGGCTCGGGCCAGGCTATTTTGACAAAACCCAAACCTGACTCGAATTTATTACGGGCCAAGCTTTTTGGCCCGAGTTTAAACCTGCGGGCCTATAAACATGTTCAAGCCCATGAACAGGTCTGTGCATGAATGAGCAAATTCTCTATGATTTCATGGGCTAATGGGCCTTAAATTAGCTATGACCCATTTAAGAGAGGACCCATCTATCAAACTACTGGCCTCTGCAACTCAGCTCCACGTCGTCCATCAGATTTCAGAAAGAAGAGAGGAGCCGGACCTGTGTCTCAGTGCAGTAATTCTCTCTTTCATATATATCTTTACATTGTACGGAGGTGATGTAGTGCATCTCATTGGTACAGTATCTATCACGAGTAGAACTGTATAAGGTTCCAACTCAGAGGGAGACATCCCAATGTCAGTAGAGGACGAATCCTGGTTGGTTGGTACTTGGGTTGGATTTGACTTGTTCTCTATTTTGGTTAAATATTGGATTTGGGTCGGATGGTCGAATTGGTGATCCAGTTCCAGTGAGCCGTCCGGGTCGGGTTTTTTAACGTTTTTTTTTTTTATGAGCTGATGTCGAACGACTGAATGGATGGTTAAACCGGCAAACCCGCAACTAAAGTTATTCGGTTTTACCAGTCCTGTTCTCAACCAATGTTGTAAGTAGGGATGTCAATGGGTCGGGTTTGACATGGGTTTGCCTCAAGCCTAACCCGACCTTACAACGTCCCAACCCGACCCGACTTAAAATACATGATTTTCAAACCCGACCCGACCCCTATAGGGTCTAACTCAATACCGACCTGGCCTGCCCGTAGTATTTCAATTATATTTTTTTTAACACGTTTTGAAGACCTAAAATCTATTAATTTAACTTAGGAAATTGTTTTATAGAATCTAAGATATTACTTTTCCCATTTAAAAAAAATAAAAATAAAATAAAAAGCAACATGCAAATAAATGTTAAACTTTAAAGTTATAGAGTTAGAAGTCAAAAAGTCACAAGCCGGGTGGAAATGCTATGGGTCAGCCAAAAACTGAACCCAACCCAAACTTTAAAGCTACAGTTAGAAGTCAAAAAGTTATAAGACGGGTCAGCCAAAACCCAAACCCGACTCAAGTTGAACAATCAAAACCCTAACCCGACCCTAAAGCCAAATGTATTGACCCTAACCCAATCCTATAGGGTCGGGTCAAGCCGAGTTTACCATTTAACCCAACCCATTGACATCCCTAGTTGTAAGACTTGAACTAGACTATAACTTGGAATGCTCCATAGTTCTGGTTTTATTGATTAACTGGGTGGTTGGTCAGCATAAGAGGCAACCTGCCTCCGCCAACCTGACTGAGGCCTAGTTGGCGACCTACACGACGTGATGGGCAACCTACTTCACGAGTGAATTATTGTCTCTGACTTTTCCAGGATCATGTTGCCACGTTGACGAAACTGACTCCCATCCCACCCGCTTCAAAGGCAATCGGATAAGCGTTACCGCTTTATGCGGAGTCTTCCTCTGAGCGTGAACCACCTCTGAACCAGACAGGCCGGTGATCACAGATGCGCTTACATAAATCTCACAGCAAGTTATGCCTATATAAAAGTATCTCATTCCTCATAAAAGGTATACGCGATATAACAATCACAACTCTCCTGCATTCTCACTTTCTAGAATTCTGAAACTCTTTGTTGACTTAAGCATTGGAGTACCCACCCGGGTACTCTGATAACTCTTCCCTTGCAGCTCGACTAGGCGATATCACCAGCCCCGCATCCGAATTGTCGTCCAACATGGAACAACGAATCAGATTTTAGTAAATGCAATTACTCGGATAAATAACTTTTCAAAAATCAAACGGGGCCCAAGTGAATAGGGTTCGTCCCTCTTGATCGAAATGGGTGGGTTGACAACCCCACTCATGCTACTAACAAACCTCTTTTTGACTTTGTGGCAAAGAGATTTAGGCAAGGAGATCAACTCTAGCGAACTAGTCTTGTACTAGAGAGAAAATAGAGAGAAACACCAAGAAAAGGATTCACATCATTCTCTTCGCTACGTTGTTGGACGTGGGAACCAAGAGGACAAGCACTTGATCGATTCAGATCTAACTAAATCAAGCTCATAGTAATGGTGGTGTACTGGTATATGATCTAGTGGATACTAGAAGTGACCTATTCATCTGTGTTCCCGTTGAAAAGATGCCCATTTTTGACTGAATTGGTTCAACTTTTTTATTTTAAAAATTTTAAAAAATCATAAAATTCTAAAAGGATTGATAACCAATTCAAAGAATCTGACGTGTGGATAACTGCATTTTACTGGAATAGATTTGACCAATCAAAGCGCCCTGTGAATTTGATGAATATCGGTGGATTGGCTGTAAGTTTTCTGGTATCATAGTTGAACTTGAACCCGAATAAGGAAAATAGAATATAGTATAGATTTGTACTGCTGGTATTCGATCAACCTAATATTTTATGTTTATTGCTTTTTGTTGCTTTTCTTGTGCTTACCTCTATACAATGTTAGTGTTTGCTATTAGGCTGCATTCATTTGGTATCTGAGAAAATAATGGAAAAGGGGAGAGTTGGGCTTGGTGATTCTTACATTCTCTTCTCACAGTCCAACACTTGATAACATGGAATTTTAGGCTCTATCCCTGTTTCCCCCATGACACCAAAGATTCAGAGCAACATCATAATATAGCTGCATCACCTCTATTACTCTATATCTAAGTTAAACGAGAAATTGTCTTCTACTTGCTCTAATGAGGTGGAATTGATCACTGCATGAACGCCACCATATCGCTAAGTTGGGAAGATCACAGGGACTAGAATATGATATAATGACACCACTTCTTTGTGTTCAAAATTTTCCGTCTAAATGGCTATATAAATTCCAAAAACAGAGCTCTATAGGTTATGTTTTTTTTTTTTTTTTTGAACTGGAGGATGACGGAATCGGAATCAAAATCCTCCTGATGATCAGAATCGAAATGCTGTAGTCTGGTTCAGACAGGAATTGAAATGGGAATTGGAATAAACTGGAATGGGATTTCATTGCCATACAGTTCGAATCAGAATGGCCCATTCCAATTCCGATTCCTAACCTTTTTTGCCATCCAAACATAGCCTTAAAGTAACTGGTGGATTCATTTGCAGACAAGTTAAAGATTAGAGCATCACCTCATCAGTCATATATAAATTAATTTACTCTGATCCCCATTTCACCACTGTGGGCACTGAAATAATTGCAGTAATTAACGACCTTTTCAGGGGAGAGTGAGCCTGACTGGTTGAGAAAAGCACAGAAAGTCGCCATGAGTGGCGTCCAATAGGAAAATAAAGCAACAACGCTCTTGTTTGTCAAATAAATAAACCCTTGCTTGTTTGCAGAAATCATGGTAACAAAATCCCAGAGAGAAACATAGGAAAATCGTCTATGGCAGGGTCTATCGATATCAACATTACTGGGACTCAGAAAAGGAGCTCTGATGATAATGGAGGAAAAAAACCCATTTCCATACTCGCATCCTTCTCTAGACACAATCAACTTGAGCCATGATACAGAAACTAGCAAGAAAAATTTACATACAGAAAGAAGAATTTAGAAGAAGGGTGGCCCGAGGAACCCATTTCTTTTGTTCCTACAGAGGGCCTCCTCCCATAGGCGGAGGGCTGAAGACTGGCTTCTCTTTCATGGCGGCACTATTGCCACCATTACTGCTGCTGCTACTTTTCCTGCGGGGCTTTGCCTCTCCAAGCATCGTTATGACATCTCTCATGGAAGGTCTTTCCTTTGGGAGTTTAGCAGTGCAGAGAAGTGAGATTCGAAGCACTAGGAGCATCTCCTCTTGAACATGCTTGCACTGGCCCCCTATGTTGGGGTCTAGCGTTTCTTCCAAGGGGCTATTGTTTCTGATCTTCCTTCGAACCCATTCAACAATGTCTACAGACTCACCAAACTCAGGATCCAGTGGCTTTCTTCCGGTGATGAGCTCCATAAGTACAACACCAAAGCTGTAGATGTCGCTTTTCTCATCCACCTTCAATGTGTACCCATATTCTGCCACAGAACAATGCCAAGTTTAGAATTTAGTATATAGTTTCTTTAAATCTATCTTCATCTGAACTAGAAATGGGCTCAGATATCATGATGGTCAGCCTCAACCATCTAATTTTGAATTAATGCACTTAAATTGAGCTCAAACATTAAAAAATCTCAAATCTGGATTCACTGAATTGTTGGTTCCAACCCCATTACATGTTTACAGCCTGTCATAAAATTCCATTCTTGTTTTCAACACTCCACTTATTAAATCCCAGGATAGACAAGTTGTTCAGTGAATTGATAACAGGTTAACAGTTACCTTACTGTGCAAAGAACCAACCTAGATCAGTTCAATAGTTTGGTGAAACAGTTTAACTAATAGTTCTGCAGTTAGAAGTTAGAACAACCAATAAGTATTGATCAGCAACTCACCAGGTGCGATGTATCCATAGGACCCAGCAACCATCGACACAGTCTCGTTCTTCCTGAGCATCATCCTGGCCAAGCCGAAGTCTGCAATCCGTGCCTCAAGGTTTGCATCAAGCAGTATGTTGTTAGACTTGACATCTCGATGGATGACCGGCGGGTGGCAGTCGTGGTGGAGATAGGCCAGCCCTTGGGCGACGCCGACTGCTATGTTGTATCGTGACACCCAGTCCACCAGCAACCGCCCCGCCTGTTTCCCATGTAAAGCCTCCCCAAGGTTTCCATTGTGCATGAACTCGTACAGAATCATCACATTGGAGTTGTTGTGGAGATAACCCAACAGTCGAACGATGTTCCGGTGTCGTAGCTTCCCTAGGAGATTAACTTCTCCTACCAGATCATCGTTGCTTCCAGTCTCCAATAAATCTGTCACCGACCTCCAAAGTTTCTTAACTGCAACAACTGTATGTGGGTGCTGAATCTCTGCTCTGTAAACGATCCCAGTTGCACCCATGCCAATCACATTTGATTCCTTGATGCAGCCCAGTATGTCAGTACTGGTGAAGCTCAGTCTCTGGAAGGCTATCAGTCTCCATGGCCACTCTCCATTGACGTCCTTGTTGAATTGGTCCTGATGAAAGCAGCCACCATTCAAGTACCATCTCTTATATAGCCAGCATCCACCAAACACTGCCAAAACAATAGCTGTGAGAGCTGAAATCCCAATAATCCATCCAGTAACAATGTGTTTGATTTGCGCCATTTGCCCGGAAGATGCCGTGACAGAACGAGAACATGGAGGTAGAACTCCGCCACAGAGACCAGCGTTGCCCATGAGGTTATCTGGGTTTATAGTCCTCAGCACGCCATTGGTGGGAACAGGACCTTCAAGCTTGTTGTAGGACACATTGAGCATTTCCAAGGCTGGTGAGCTTCCCAAATTCTCTGGTATAACTCCAGTCAGAGAATTGTTGGATAGATCAAGAATGGCTAATGCGGACATTGTCGCAATTGCTCTTGGAATTTCTCCTGTGAGCCGGTTGTTCTGAAGGTTCAAACTCACCAGCTTCTGGTATGAAGCAATGCTTGAAGGAATGCTTCCGGAGAACCGATTTGTTGATAAATCAAGCACAGATAGAGATGGGCAGTCCTGGAACTGATCGGGGATCTTACCTTCCAAGTTGTTGTTCGACGCCATGAAACTCTGGAGATTTGGAATGGTGAGTATGCTGGAAGGAAGAGACGATTGGAGGTGGTTTCGAGAGAGATCGATGAATAAAAGAGATGTTGATGAGGCAATGTCGTCCGGTATCTCATCGGTGAGACTATTGTTTGCCAGCTCCAGACGCTGCAGCTTGTTAAGTTTGCCGAGTCCAGGGGGAATCGTCCCAGAAATGAGGTTGTTTTGCATTCGAACACGGACCAATGAGTGACATGTCGTTAACCCCAGAGGGATTGGACCTGAAAAGGCATTGTTGAAGAGAATGAGTTTAGTGAGATTACCGCCACCGCACAAACTGGGTGGAATCCGGCCGGAGAACGAGTTCGATGACACGTCCAACCATTGTAATGGTGAATTCAGGCCGAGATTCACCGGCAAAGCACCTGTTAAAGAATTGTTCCACAGCTCAAGGACCTCTAACTTGGTCAGCTCACCAAGTCTGCTGGGAACCGAACCCGTCAATTGGTTGCACATCAGATTCAGTAGCTGAAGATTCTTTAGCTCTGCTAATTCGGCCGGAATTGTGCCGAACAACAGATTGTCAGAGAGATCCAAGAGCACCAACGATTTAATGTTGCCAATTTCGGGTGGAATCCTGCCTTCGAAATCGTTCTTATATAACAGCAGTGTACTCAGTTGGTTTAATTTCCCCAGCTCAGCCGGAATCTCGCCACCGAGGCTACCAACCGCCAAGTCAAGATACCGCAGATTGGTCAGGTTGCCGAGCTCCGCCGGAATTCCACCTTCCAATTCATTGTATCCGAGAATGAGAGTTTTCAGAGATGAAAGCTGGCCAAGCTCCGGCGGTATTCGACCCGTGAAATTATTGCCCGAAAGACCGAGGAACTTCAACTTCTGTAACTTCTTCAAAGATGTAGGAATTGGACCTTGGAAGAAGCTCCCTCTGAAATCTAGGCTCTCAAGCGACACTGCATCTCCAAGGTCTTCAGGAAATAAACCAGAGAAATTGTTGCTCGAAGCATTGATGCTATTTAGCCCTGCTGCCCTCCCAAGACCCGCCGGAAAACCACCCATAAAAGAATTCTGGCTGACATCAAGGAGTCTCAGATGGGTGAGGTTGGAGATCGCTTCCGGCAACGATGACGAGAACCCATTGCAGCATATGTTGAGGACTGCCAGGCTGTGTAGCCTTTGGATGTCATCCGAGACTCGGCCACTGAGGTTCATGGAGGAGAGGTCGAGCCTCTCAACGGCACCATTGGAGTTGCACCAGACTCCAGTCCAGTTGCAATGAATTGGATTATTTACGTTCCCATTGGCCGGCAATTTCCAATCTCGAAGTCGATCCGACGGGTCGAGAAGACCTGCTTTTATCGATAACAGAGCCAACGCCTCCTCGTTCGATGCACTGGTCGCTGCCTGCTCCTTTGCCAAAACCAGAGAAAGGCCAATGTAACAGAAGAAAAGGAAGAAGAACATCAACTGAGTCTGCATTTCGCTGATGTTTTCCTTCATTCTCTTGTTCTTGGCCTTAGTTCCAGACCATATTTGCTCTGGAAAATAAAGAGGTGCTAACTGCTAAGGGATTAACCTTTTCTGCAGAAGAAAACAGTGATAAATGAGAGAGATCGGAAAAGATTGGTTATGAGTTTGATTTGTCTTTATAAAAGGGATTAGCTTTTTGTTAAGCTCGTGACTTCTCGAGCTCTGCAACAGCTGTGAGTCTGCATCTAATGACCGGAAAAGTTTGGACTTATTGAAAACCTCCCCGACATTAAACGTAGGGAGAATGTGCTGAGCGAGTGAGCTCCTGATGCAATTTCTTCTTCTTCTATGATCACATAGTCAACCTAAGGAAGGTGACGCGGTAATAAGATTATCTCTCGCTCTCTCTCTCTCTCTCAGAAACTAAACTAATATAGAAGAGGATATTATGTTGATTCAGTGCACCCAAGATGCATTGAGGATCATGCATGTCTGACTTCGATCCATACTGTGAAGATGGTATCTCACTCCAATATGGGCCCCCTGTCAATGGGTTTGCCACCTCTCCAATCAAGGGATTAATGAAAAGAGTTTGTAGAATTAATTAGATGGAACGGGGTGCATCAGATTCAATGCATCTAATGTGTACCATATGGTTTCTCTTTGCCTAGGAGTTTATTAATTAGATTATTGTTAATGCTTAGTTAAGCACTGTACATGGGTGCAGAATCCAAAGCTTCAGTAGTCAAATGATTTGGGTATTGGCTTAATCTTTGTCTCTAATAAATGCAATAATCTCTTCTGAGTAAAAGCTCATCAATGGTTGCAGTTCAATCCCATTTTACATCACAATTTCAAGGGTAACCCCACCATCAAATGATCTTTCAACTGTGATTGGATTTGGACTGATTGTGAGTCATAAACCAGGGACCCAGAATAAGTCTCAAGTGAGTTTTGCAAATCAAGTAACGAATTGACCCTAAAAAGGATGGTCAGCTGGGCTTGTCTAAAGACTACATGAAATTCAAATTCCAATCTCCTCTGTCTCAATCAAGTGAATTGTTTCTGAGAATTAAATACATCTGGGTCATCTGACTAATGACCCATCTAGGTATATTTAGTTAATGAAACCAGTCTTCCATCTAGTAAGTAGTCTAGTTAAATAATTGGGTACTAGAGATGAAAATGAACATGAGTGAACAGGAGAGAATCTTTCCATGTTAAATGGTACACCCAAGACAGAAACAAAACAAGAAAACCCTGAATTTTCTGGTCTAATGTTTGTTTAATACAGTACCCTAATTAATCAGAAATGGAATAGGATGAGGATCAGTCTGTGGAGCCATGCAACAACCTCCATTCATCCACGAAAACAGCTGCCTGTTGTCACATGTTCACATGTGAGCTTGCTGCATTTTAAAATCTAGGGGGTTGGGTTTAAAGGGAAGAAAGGTGTAGAACTCCATTAAAAGAAGAAGGGAGCCATGTGAAACGGCAGCTTCCTAGGGAAGGCCCTCATGCCCATTTCTGGAGGTGTACTCTGCCATGGCGAAGCTGTGTCTGAGTGGCTCAATATTTTACTACTGATTTGGGCCCATTTCCGGATCCATTGGCGAGTGTAGGACAGAAGGAGAGGCTTCCCCCCACATGGGCTTACGCTCATCTAAAGCCACCCTTTCTAGTGTCTCATGATTGTCCAAAAGATGTTTGATGAATTGACTAGAGAGAGAAATGCTTCATTTCTTCTGAAGGACAAAATTGCACATGTGGTAGGGTAGGACTGGATATCTGGCTGGGTCCCACATGGGGATTAGAATTTAGAAAGCATCTCGGATGGATCTGATTCATCATATCCAAGTGCATATTAAGTACACGTGGCATGCATCCAGTTGATAGGAGGCACCACAAATGCCAATCAGACGACTGTCAAGTACCTGAGGTAATGCTTATTGATAGGTTTACTATGCGTCTAAGGCACGTTGAGTTTGAGAAACAACACGATTTGATTTGATGGGTGTCCCCGTCCCACACGAGAGAAAGGAGGAATCCGTTAGGGTGGGTCCCATTTGAGTCATCTTATTTGCTCAATAGTGGATCCCATTGTACGACTGTTTGTATCTGATAGGTCCAGTCTCCTTATATAAAGCAGGAAGGGACAGATGCTACACGTGAAAGTGATCATGGGACCGACCTTTAATTGGGTCTCTCCGCAAAAGTAGAATGAATCCGATTCCATTAGCCGATATCACATTTCCACCCTCTCAGTGGTTTTTTAACACGCCTAGGGATGTCAACGGATCGGGTAATCAATCCAAACCCGACTTATTTTTTCTTAACACATTTTCAAGAATTAAAATCTAGTAATTTAAGTTAGAAAATTATTTTATAGATTTTAAGATGCTCTTTTTTCATTAAAAAAAAAAAAGGAAGAAAACCAAAATCAATATGTACATAAATATTTAACGCTATAGAATTAAAAAGCCAAAAATTACAAGAATACTTTGTATCTATATGCAGGGCATCATGACCTAACAGGGTGGGTCAGCCAAAACCCAAACCCGACTCGTATTGAAGAATCAAAACCTTAACCGGCCCTAAAGCAGAATATGTCTGACCATAACCCAACCCTATAGAGTTGGGTCAAACTGGATTTACCATTTAACCTAACCAATTGACACACCATTGTTTCAATCAAATACCAATTTGATGTGATGTTTTGTATTTTTCACTAAACACTAACATGTTCAAAAATCACTAGGGTCTCATGTTTGTCTTGCGGTGGTGGTTGTAGGAAACGTAATCTCTCAAAGTGTTTCCCATGTAAAACTTGTTAAGAGATAGGATATAGGGAGAGCGTTATCGATGCGCAGTTAAGTTGCTTACCCACCTTGCAAGAGGGTATCAATTACTTGGATAACTGATACTATGAATGCAAGGATTGTAGTCAATTTGCTGTTGAAGGAATGAGACACTATAGATCCTCGAGATATTGTTCTTGCATTGGATGAACTAATAGGCATTTACCTCATAAAACCCTAATTATTTTAGGTTTCAATCTCTCATTACTTTGATATATTGGTACTAGACTTTGTCTCTGATTATATTTGATTATTCTCTCTTACATTTTTTCATTAATCAAATCAATAGATTGATATGAGGGAGATTAGTAGCTAAACCTCAAATCGTTTTAGGGCTTTGTGATTTTCTCTCTCTAGATTGAAATAGTAAAGTGTTTTGAGTATTCTAGAGAGTAAATCTGCATGTTTCAGGGTTTCATTTAATCCAAACAAGCGTCTGCTTGTTTTCATTTATGAAAATTTGGGCTTATTGAATGTTAATTTCTAATTATCTAGAACTAATTAAAGTGATTACCTTCTTGATAGAATAATTTTGGAACTTGGTTTAGCATTGTAACCCTATTGGATTGAATCAACTAAGCTTTTGGAATTAGCAGAGGAATGAAAAACAAGCCTCAGTTTCGGATATATGCAAGAGATATGTTCCCTTACCTTTTCTTTATTTTCACATTCGAAATGAGGGTTGTATTTGCTTTGTCTCAATGACTAAGTAAGATTGAGAAATTACGTAGTACAAATTTTCCAACTTGGATATGTAGGATGATTCGCATTTTAGAAGAAGAAAAGGTTGATTTTGTTTTAAGAAAACCTGTTCCTATTGTTTCATCTGATGATGATCCAGTGAATGTTATACATTTATATTAGAAATGGAAAAAGGACAATAGGAAAACTATATCATGCTTGTTAACCTTCAAAGGGAAAGAAGTTTTAGAAAAATAATAAATTTAAGTTCTCAGAATTTTAAGAAAACCAAAGGAAAAATTGCTATGAATGTGGGAAATCAGGCCATACAAAATATAACTTCTTGGAACTAAAGAAGAAAGAAAATGACAGGAATTATGGAAAGAAAGAAATTGCATGTGTTGTTTCTGAATCTTTTCATGTTGATACTAATTGTATGAATTGGTACATAGATCTATCTCTTCTTGTCATGGTTGCAATAATAAAGAAATTTCAGAGAGTTGAAAGAGATAAAAGTTGAAGAACATAGGGTATTTATGGGAAGTAAAACTTACTGTGATGTACTTAGCGTGGGAACAGTTAAAATTCCTATCAACAATGATACCATTTAACTTTAACAAATGTACTGTATGCTTTCAATATTAGGAAAAATCTATTATTTGTAGCTTCTCCTAGATGACAAGGGTTTTGATGTACACTTTTGAGGTGGGAGAGTATCTCTTGGAAAGCATGGGCGTGTATTGTTTTATGGGATAAGGGATGATGCGTTGCATTGCCTTAATATTAATAAATTTATGAATCTTTCTACTTATATTGAATGTGCAAATGTCTAGAATTCCTTTTGGTTAAAGGCAATGAAGTCATATTACCCGTTTTGGGCATATTACCTAATTAGAAGAAAACGGAAAGTGTTAGAAAAAGTTAAAAGAATATAAATTAGAAGTTGAAAATCAACTAGGTAGCAAAATCAAAATACTAAGAAGTCATAGAGGAGCTGAGAACATATCTGAATTATTTGAGAACCTCTACAAAGAAAATGGAATAATCCACCGATTTACTATGGTTTACACTCCCCAACAAAATGGGGTAGCAGAATGTAGAAACAAAACTCTACTGGGCATGGTTAGATCCATGTTAACTCACTCCAACTTAGGAACTAACTTTTGGTGAGAAGATTTAAGTACAACAATATAGATACTAAATAGAATTATTGCAAAAATTTTAAAAGAAAGCCCCTTATGAGCTCTATAGTGGAAGAAAACCAAATATATCAAATGTAAAAATTTAGGTGGCAATAGCTTATGTTAGGGTCCCTACACGGTTAAGAAACAAATTAGGCAACAAAAGTATAACATGTGTTTTTATAGGATACCCTAAAAGTAACAAGGATACAGGTTTACTAACCACAAATCTGTTGGAGGTGTAGAATTAATAGAAAGTAGAGATGCTATTTTTCAAGAGGATCAAATAGATCCTAAGAACAAGAACCAATTGAAGGAATTGTTTGAAATAGAATAGGAGAAAACTAATGATCCCCAAGTTGCTAAAGCCTTTACACCTCCAAAAAGAGACACTAACCAGATTACAAAGGGAAAGAATGCCATCATCTAGATTAAGAGACTACTATACTATGTTAATTGAAGAAATAGAAATGTCAAAAGACCCAAACGACTATGAACAGGCTATGCAAACTCCAAACAAGAATAAATGGGTAGAACCAATTAAAGAAGAGATAAACTAAATGAACAAGAATGAGGTTTGGGAATTGGTAGACTTGCTAAAAGGCAGAAAACTCATAGGCTGCTAGTGGGTCTTAAAGAAAAGGCTATAATTATATGGAAATATAGACAAATACA